GACAGTCTCTTGGGTGGCCTTTTCTTCAGTCTCTGCTCCACACTTTATGTCCATATTTCCTCCTGTGAGTATTTTGTTCCCCCTTAAGGACTGAAGCACTCACACTTTGGTCTTATCTCTTCTTGAGCTTCAAGTGGTCTATGAGTTGTATCTTGGGTATTTCAAACTTTTGGCCTAATAGCCACATATCAGTGAGTGCATACCATTCAGTGGTTAAGAGCACTGGCTGCTCTTCCAGAGGCCCCAGGTTCAATTCCCAGCACTCACATGACAGCAGTTGTCTGCAGCTCCGGTTCCAGGAGTCTGACACCCACACACGGACACAGTCGCAGGTAAAATCTTTTTGGAATCTATTTATGTAGTAGACTACCAGCTTTCGCCAACCAAATGCTAAGAATGTCATCAGAGACCCTTCTAGGGCCTGAATTGCAGTAACTGCCCCTCTGATATTTAATGTGTTTTAAACTTGACTTGATTTATAATTCTCTTTGTTCTGTAACTCATGTTCTTTTCTCATAGTTCTGTAACTAAAAGTCATGAAACTGCTTCCATATTGGAACATGGAGTTTGAAATAATCTAAATCTGTATTCCCTGTTCCATAGTCATTTTAAAACACTCCAGAATGAACTGATTTCTTATTTCCTTTAAGATGAAAGCTGCCCTTTTTTTTTTTTTTAATGTGATTTTTTTTTTTTAGATTTATTTATTTTATGTATGCGAGTACACTGTTGCTGTCTTCAGACACACACCAGAAGAGGGCATCAGATCCCATTACAGGTGGTTGTGAGCCACCATGTGGTTGCTGGGAATTGAACTCAGGACCTTTGGAAGAGCAGCCAGGGCTCTTAACCACTCAGCCATCTCTCCAGGTCCCAAAATGTGTAGCCCAGGCTGGCCTCGAACTCCTGATCCTCCTGCCTCTGCCTCCTTCAGCAAATCCTACCGGTGTGCGCCACCACTACCGGCTTCTTTTTTTTTTCATTGACACCATTTACTTATTGTATGTGTTATTACATTAGTGCCAGGACTGTTTTGTCCTTTGAATGTCTGTGGAAGTAAAGTTAGGAATTCAATCACTGTTGAATTGCTAGCTGCATTTCCAATTTCTTCAGTGGCTGCTGCCTCTGCTCAGACAAATACCAAGGTAACTCTTGTATTTTGGCCAGAAGAAAACGAATGTTTTATTTCATACAGCTGGTGTGTTTCACACAGATAGTTTGTCGTTTTCTTAGTTTTCTGCTGTTATTTTTTTGCTAGTGAAGCAAACTAGATTTGTTTATTGTTGTTTTGCTTTTTGTTTTTGAGGTAGGACTCTAGCTGCCTCACCCAGTGTTTGGTATGTAGACCATGCTGACTTCTGACTTGTCAAAATCCTCTTGCCTCTTCCTCAAAAGTACTAAGATTAGGGCTGGAGAGATGGCTCAGTGGTTAAGAGCACTGACTGCTCTTCCAGAGGTCCTGAGTTCAATTCCCAGCAACCACATGGTGGCTCACAACCATCTACAATGGCATCTGATCCCCTCTTCTGGTGTGTCTAAAGACAGCGACAGTGTATTCATATACATAAAATAAATCAATCAATCTTAAAAAAAAAAAGAGAATTTAAAAAAAAAGTACTAAGATTATAGATGTGTTTTGTCATGCTTGATTAATCTGTTTTCTGAATAACTTTTCCTTTGTTTAGGATAAGTGTATTCCTTTTCCCAAATGCTACATTCTATAAAATGACTTTTCGATATTTTGTGTTTATTTTATGTGTAATATCTCACACACACACACACACACACACACACACACACACACACACAGTCATGTTATGTTAGTCACTATGTCAATTCTGGGAATTGAATCAGGGTCCTATGTAAGAACAACAAATGCTCTTAGCCTCTGTTCCTTCTTTCTAGCCTCTTGATACTTTTTGCTTTCCTTTTCTTTATTCTCCCCCTTCCTTCTCTCCTTCCTCTCCTCCCTCCCTCCCTCCCCTCCTTCCCTCCCTCCCTCCCTCCCTCCCTCC